TATAAATTGGGAAGTAAGTTGAATTATTTGAATCAATTGATTTTGAACGTATTCAATGATATAATAGTCTTCTTTTTTGATAGTTGATGGATGCTTATCATCGGAAGGTGGTAGTGTGAAAATGATTGCTCAATTTTTGCCACAACTTCAGCAACTTCATGTTTTCATCAATCGTTGTTATGAAGTTTTTCATAATATCATTTGTCAACTTCATGCTTTTCTTACCTTAAAGTAAGTTTCATTTGTCCAAAAAAATAAATCTTTTTTCTTTTCAAATTTGAAGAACAATCGAACAAAAATGTTTTCAAATTACCTAACTTTGAATATTACCTAACTAAATTTTTTACCTGACTAAATTTTCAAATTACCTAACAGATTACCTAACTTTTTTATAAAAATTATCTGCAATGGCTGTTTCCTCTAGAAGAGAACAAGCTGTTAATTTGAAAATCTTTCTAAAAGAATATATATGTACTGATACAAAGCTCATTACAGAGACTATTTGTTTCTTATTAATTTGAAAATCTCTTTAAAAGAATATATAAGTGTAACTGATACAAAGCCGATTACAGAGACTATTTGTTTCTTACTGAATTTTAAATTTACAGACCTAACTAATGCAGTTCCTTCAATACTTCAATTGCTTTATGCTTTCATTTATATTCGCTATGTTTTTAGGAGTAGCTTTCTGGAGCGAGCTCAAGAAAGGAAGTTAATAAGAATGTGGCGTTCACTTGGATTACTATTATCTGTTTTGATTTCACTTGACGAAATTATACGTCAACAATCCACTTTGCAGCAACACTGGCAATCGTATTATAGGTAACAGCTAATTGTTTGTGACTTCAAACTTGTGGAGTATTTATAAAGCATTCAGGATTGTGGAGTTTTCAATGTACAAAAAAAATTATCTTTGAGAATAACTGCCAACTGTATTTCGCATGAAAAATAAATGGGTATCAGAATTGATTTGATTGAACTAACCTCGGAAAGGTAAATTGAAGTTTAAAAAGTAAGATTGAAATTGCGGAAATTAGAATCAATGAAAATAATAAATACACATCAGTATATTATTGCATTATCATTAAAGTAATGGCGTAATAGGATACACCGATGTGATTAATATTGCAAACAAAATTTGTGAAATTCAAATTTTAAGCTCGGCAAAGTTGAACAGTAATGAAATGGATAATGAATACAAAGAAGAGTATATATAATT